TATTGAAATAAATACATACACAATGAACCCCAAAAGCTCATGTATGATATGAACTGACAAAGATGAAAATAAAAGGCCTTTTCAGTACACTCATGGTATAATTAGCTGTTTTGGTAACCACCCCTGGAATGGATGCCGTACCTCGATATGTTGGCAGATGTGGTACCCACTTCAAATAAGTGCTGCACATTATGTAGATCATGATCATATCATGTTTTGGTCTTTAGTCGTTTTCCTGTCACACAACTTCCATGGATCATCTCTGGACAGTTACAAGCCTTTGGGGCTAACATGTGGAGCAATCATTACCTGGTTGTAAAACTTTTTTTTTTTCCTTCTTGAATTTGAGTGTCGCAAATTACGACCTCCTCCCCCTCATGATTTTTCTGTTGCCAAGGAGACAGTGAGGCTCCAGATTTGGACCCTTTACTTGTTATTTACTCGATATTGTGCTGACAGCTGAAATGACGTACTCCATCATGCACCGCTACACATTTGTGCCCATCCAGTGAAAATGAGATTTCTCTGGAGGAGGGCTTCAAGGCCCTTTTTTAGATTAGATTAGATTAGATATCCTTTATTTGTCCCACACTGGGGAAATTTACAGCCTTCAGCAGCAAGATTGTGGGTAGAAAGAAGAGAAAAGAAAACACAGTTCAATTAAGTGCAATATAAATACAAACATGGATAAGGTCAATAATTAAGTGCAATATAATACAATAGTCACAGTACTATTCACATATGTTGTCATATCATTTAAATAATTCTATGCTTTATTGATTTATTCATTTTTTATTCAGCAGCCTGACAGCAGTCGGTAGGAACGAGCGGCGGTATCTCTCCGTCTTGCAACGCGGGTGTAACAGTCTCTGACTGAAGGAGCTACCGAGTGCTGTCAGGGCTGGCTGGAGGGGGTGGGAGGGACTGTCCAACATAGCTTTTAGCTTAGCTAGCATCCTGCTGTTGCCCACCTCCTCCAGAGTGTCGAGGGAGCAGCCCAGGACAGAACCAGCCTTCCTGACTAGTCGCTCTAATCTCTTCCTATCCCGGGCCGAGATGCTGCCTGACCAGCAGACAATGCCATAATGGATGGCCGAGGCCACCACCGAGTTATAGAAAGTCTTAAGGAGTGACCCCTGAACCCCAAAAGACCTCAGTTTCCTGAGTAGGAAAAGTCTGCTCTGACCTTTCCTAATCAGGGTGTCCGTGTTAGTCGACCAGTCCAGTTTGTTGTTGAGAAGAACACCCAGGTACTTGTAGGAGGTCACCCTCTCTATGTCCATACCCTGGATGTTCATCAGTGCTGGTGAGGACTGTTGCCTGCAGAAATCCACAACCAACTCCTTAGTTTTCCTAGGGTTGATCTGGAGTTGATACTGCTGGCACCAGTCCACAAAGTCCTTCGTCAGTCGCTTGTACTCCCGATCGTCCCCCTCTGTAATGAGGCCAACAATCGCAGAGTCATCGGAGAACTTCTGAAGGTGGCAGTTTGGAGTGGCATGTCTGAAGTCCGAGGTGTAGAGGATGAACAGAAATGGAGCCAGAACAGTCCCCTGCGGCGCTCCCGTACTGCAGAGAAGCCTGTCCGACTCACAGCTCTGCACCCTTACGAACTGCGGCCGGTTTGTGAGGTAGTCTATAATCCATGCTGTGAGATGGTGGTCCACTCCGGCGTTCTGCAGTTTGTCCCTCAGTAGGTTGGGTTGGATGGTGTTGAAGGCACTGGAGAAATCAAAGAACATGATTCTCACAGTGCTCCCAGCCTTCTCCAGGTGAGACAGCACTGAGTGGAGGAGGTAGATAATGGCGTCTTCCACTCCGATGCCAGACTGATAGGCAAACTGCAGCGGGTCCAGTGCCGAGCTCACCAGCGGTCGAAGGTGAGCGAGGACGCTAACCGCTATCACCCATTGATGAAAGACAAAATGATGTTAGAAATATTGGTCTTTGGTTTCTGAAGACCGTGACTTCAAGTGTTTTCTAACAGCAAAAACTCTTTATTGCCAAAATCAATTACCTCAATCCGTTTTGTTTGAAATTGAGCAGCCGGCCCTTGAAAATATCTTTCTGCTCTCTGACCGGTTTGGTCAGAGCAAAACAATTTGACCAGCAGAACAACGTCTGTAGAGATCTGCATATGTGGATATTAAATAAGCCGGTGAGTAGAATGCAATTTGTCTGTTTTTGGAATGTTATTTGATAAAACAGCATTTCTGAACCGCACCAGATCATGTACGTGTGCTGTTATGTCGCGTTTTTAGAGAATCAGAGGTTGTCAAATTGGCTAAGCCGCTGCTGAAGGCCCAGGTACTCGGCGCGTGGCCTGCCGCTGTGGTTCAATAGGAC